CACATAAACATCAACTTCTGCTTCTACATCAACCTCTTGGAAATAAGTCCCAAGGGATTTGCACATTCCTATGCCTTTCCTCTCTAAGTATTGATTCATACAGTGTTGCCCTAGATGACAAATCAAACAAATCTCTAAACTTCATCCCCTCAAACTTCTTTCTCAATTCAAACTCTAACCCATTCTGGGCCATTCTCACAATCTCAACTTCAGGCATGTATATTGGACGCCTGTTTTACACCCTTTTAAATCTATCAATGAATTGCTCTGCACTCTCAGAAAATTCCTGCCTCATTTCAAACAGATCAACCAAGGTTACCTTAGGCTCAGTCATATAGAACTGGGCATGAAACTGGTTTCCACCTCTACCCAAGTATGGATTGAATTAGCAGGCAGGTTAATGAACCATATAAAAGCAATTCTAGACAAGGAATATGAAAACAACCTCATTTTAAGTATATCATTATTTCCTACTTCTCCACATTGTAAAGTAAACATCCCTATGTGTTCAATTGTTGATTGATTTTCCTCACCATGAAACAAAGAAAACTCAGGCACTCTTTAATTTCTAGGAAAATGTTCCTTATCTACCCACTATGGGTATGGCTTCCTAAATCTAGGCCTTTCAGGCCTTCTCATCCCTAGACTATAAAGGTCTTTAACAATTTGGATAATCAGGTCCCTTTGATCAACATGGTTAAAAGCATTTTGCCCCCCATACCCATAGTTATTTTCATAAGGCTCATGCCTGTCGACATGTAAAGGGGGTGCTGGACTTCTTGGCCTTGGGCCATTACCAAATGGTTCATGGTACATGTCAGGCCTATGCCCTTCAGGATATGCACCCATATTTCCAAAATTATTGATTCCTTGCATAACCCACATTAGGAACTTCTCTTTACCTAACATTTTCAAACCCTTGATTATAATTTTCAAAACCACATTAGTTCTTGGCCTCATATTAGGATAACCATTAAATTTTATGCTAAACAAATTTCTGTTTTCTACCGCTTTTTAGCCATGTAGTGGGTTAGAAAAAACATTTGACCCAAGTTGCCCCTAGGCCAGTTTCCTTGAATTCTAACATTTGGGGTTTGGAATACCTCATACATTCTTTCTTCAACAGTTGGGTCCCTGTAAAAGGGCGTTAGCTCACCAACAGACTGATGTGGCATACTAGTCGGTGGTAGCATATATGCACCCCCTGCCTTTGAAGACACCTTATGTGCCTTTACTTCACTCTGACTTACATACTCCATCGATGGAGCTTTCAACACACTCCTCACTTCTCCCAGAAGGATTTGGCTCTCCTCTAGTGATTGGTTTGCCAGTGCATCCCTTATCTGAGCCACTAGGACTCCTGTGAGAATTCTAGCATGGCAATTTGTTTGGCCTTCTGTATTCACTGCTTGGCCACTCATCTGGCCTTTCTGGGCCGATACTTGGCCTACATGTTGAACACCACCATCATCAGCCAAGACCAAGTCCTGGTCCACCTCATTCTCTTCCAACTCAGCAGGCTTCTTCTCAGCATGCTTATTAACTTGTTTCTTTTCCTTCACCATTTTTTGATCCAAATTATGCAATAATGTCCCACTGGGCGTGCCAAAAATTGTTAGTAAAAATTATGCTAGGGCTAGATCAACAGCAACCAAGTAATAATCTTAAACTAGACAATTAAACAGGAACAATCAAGCAATATGGTATTGGTTCAAATGCCTCAAAAGGATGAGGACTTCTTTAGATCAATTGATTGTAACAAAGCAAACAAGAAGAAAACATACTGCCTTATATCAACTGAAAGTTACAAAGTAAACAAAGCAAACAACAAGTAATTCCAAGATGAAATTACTAAAGTCACAATAATTTACAAGGATCCGAATTAGAGAAGAAACTACTCCTAAACAAAGAAAGCTACTCCTAGATTATGCTAAGTCTAAAACTAAGTTGTTATGTTGTTGATGATGTCCTCTCTCTATGCAAATTTTTGATCTTTATACTTCTTCTTTCCCACGGCCCCATGATCTCCTCAATCTACAACTGTTGTTGTGTAACTGCTGCAACTGCTTCCTGACTTCTAGGCTGTCAGACTTCTTCAATCCTTCACTTCTGTCTGTCAAAACACCTCTTTTTCATGTTGCCACATGTCCCTTAGTACTTTAGACCTTACGTCGACAGAGAAAAACTCGCATCCTGCACATGCCATTTTCTGCAACTCGCTCACTAAGTTCATGACCTGGTTTGATAACTATCTCATCATCTGAGCCATCCAATGCATGCGATCAACCTCTCTAATGCCACTTGTCCCTTTTTCACAACTGTTGAACCTTCACTTGAGTTTGCAACATGTCCTATCCCAACTGGTCCACCTGTCGACAAGAACTAGCAAAAATAGGTGCAAACAAATATCATTTTGGGTGAATTTATGAGTCTTTCACATCTCTTCCGAATTTAAAAAAAAAATAAATAAAATTATGGTATGTAGACAGATAAATATAAAACAAATACTAAGATAATTCCCCATCTAAAAAAAAAATACTAAGATAATTTGTTGAACTAATAAAGAAGTAGAAGAAAATACATATATATATATATATATATACAAATGACCAATTTTATTAATATATAAATCATATTCGTATAACAAATAACTAATTTTATTAATAAGTAAATTAATAATTTTTAATGATATGAAAAATATTTTTTAGTTAACCATTTTGTTAATAAATAAAGCATTAAGTCAATTAACAATTTTAATGATATGAAAAATATTTTTGAATAAATAATTTTGATAATTTATTATGGGACACTTTTTCATAAATCTATTTTCACTTACTTATGTTCCATTTAGTCCACAGTATTTTCTTATGTTTCAATAAGTCCTATGGGTGACATAGTCACCAAAATATCCCTAATAATATTCACATTTACAGTGTGAATGTTTCGTGATGTAAAGGTTCACACCATCAATGTGAATGTTAACATGTCAATGTGAATATTTACATTGCAAAATATGAGTGTTCACATCACCAAATTGCTAATCGTTCAAAAAATATTTGCAAGGGTAGAAATGTCTATAAAATACCTTAAATATGATAATTAGAATTTGGTAGATCAAATGTCCAGATAATAGGACTTATTAGAATATAAGAATATCTTATGGACTAATTGAGATACAAACACTTTAAAAAGGATTTTTTAAATAAATTTCCCATTTATTATTGCATAGGAGAATGGTTTTTTTTTTCTTCTTGATTATTGTGTTAAATTAAAATTTATGACAAATGATAGTTGTAATTTCTATTGTTATAGGACCAATTTATATTTTAAACAAACTTTATGGGTATATTTGTAATTTGGTAAAAATTAAAAGATTTATGTTTTATAATTAACCAAGAATGTTTGCGTAATTACAAAAAAATAAATCTTAACTTAATATATATGTCACCATTAGTAAATCATTGAAAATAGAAGGGCAAAATGAGGAGAAAAAAAAGACCAGCCATAAGCAGGATAGAGCTTCTTATATATATAAATATGTAGGCTCGCGAGTTTGGCTAAACTTGTGCTTGGCTCGCTAAGAAAACGGGCTTAACATTCTGCCTCGAGCTCATTTATTAAGCAACCAAGTCGAGCTCGAGCTTAAGCCTAATTGAGCTTGTTTGCGAATAGTTCGATTCGTTTACAACCCTCACCATTATAATTAGTAGAGATTTGAATTAACTACTCAAGACCAATTAAAATTAATTTCAATTTTTTGTTGATTTTTTATTAAGTAATGCCATACAGAGACAAAATTTTCACTAACTTTTCTAATCGCTAAGGTCTCGTTTGGCAAGTGACTTTTTTAGTAAAAAAATCACTAAAAAAAATTAAAAAGTTAACAACCTATACTACAAAGTCAAAGATTCTATTTTCTCTTTACTTTTTGCACATCTTTTCGTAAAAATTCAAAAAGTCATCGCAAACATACTAATTTTTTTTATATCACATTTTAACCAAAAAGTCAAAAAGTTATTAAAAAAATATGTTCCCAAACGAGGCCTAAAACAAAAGCATTAATCCCACTCGTATTTATAGGGTAACATTCACCATTTATCTTTATTTATTTATTCTCAATGTAAATTTCTACACATTCCTACAAAATTCTTACAATTTCATGTGAATCATTTCTTTACAATTAGGCTCCAATTGTTTCGACCTAAAATCTTTTTTTAAAAAAAATAATTTTCTTATAAATTGACTTTTACACAGGAAAAAAATGTTTTTGTTTTTATTTTTCGGTATTTGATTGATATTTGAAACAAAAATATTTTATTACCTAAAAGAAAATTTTTGAATCAATAAAGTATCATTTATAACTTTTTAATGAGTTAAGATATTTATTTAAAAAGATTAAAATGTGTTGAAAATGTAGTGAATGAGAATCAACTTTGTAAAAATTGACTTACGAAAATTTTAAAAGTAAGTTAATTTTGAAAAAAATGATACAAAAATATTTTTCTTATTTTACTTGTTTTTTGTTCAACTAAATAACCAAAAAAAAAAAGTCAAAATATTTTTGACAAAAACATAAAAACAAACAGAACCAAAATCTACAATTTGACAAAATCAAATTGTAACGTGTGGCTGATTTTGATGCCTCAAACATGGGGTTCGGTTGGATGCTAAATTTTTCCTCAATTCAAGCCAAATTGAACTGCTTACATCCTTACAATTCAAACATATATACTGACATATACTGAAGACGAGCCGTTCTCTTTTTCATTCACAAATTGTTGATGGTTCGGCTCAAGGAATCATACAAAAATTAGAAATGAGAATTTGCTTATAGGCCATCACTTTTGCTAAATAAAAAATAAAAATGTGAAAATCTTTACTCATTAAAACAAACTCAAGGTGATTTTGCTCTTTATTTGCAAGTTTCCTGTAATCCAACAGCATCCGACAAAAATCATACAAAAATTAGACAGTTTTTCGCATATCAAATATATTTATTCTTGTTTCAATATAACAATTACATTGACATTAAATGGAAGACCCAGTAAGAAAAATGTACAACACCATTTCTTATAAAGTAGGCAAAAAAGGCAAAATCTTGAGCATTTTCAACTGAAGAAAAATTTCATCGTATCACGGAACCACCAATTTATCAGCCACTCAACTAGTCATGTTCACTGTCTTCACTATCATCACTGCATTTGCATATCCCATAAATGGATTAAGTAACAACAATGAATCCACAAAGAATCGCTATGTGAACATGCAAACAAACGAGAGTCACGTTATACAAATAAAATTCTATACAAAATTATATGACTTTTTGTGGTCCTTTTCATTTTCAATTAAAATACTCATTGTTCTCGTAATTTCAAAAATACTATTAACACATTATTGTGGATGTGTTTTTTATATGAACTTCAATTTACAAATACCAAGTGGTGATCTTAGGTAGCAGAACAATGGCTATATAGCCTTGTGATTGAAAAGGGTTGGGATTTGCTTGTGTTTAGTTTAGATGTAGTGGTCCACTGGATTTGCAGAGACTCGGGACTGGAATGCTCCAGACAAACTATTCAAGGATTGTGAGACTTTAATTCAAGGGCCAGAAGGTAAAAAGGATCAATCATAGCACAAAAGGGTAAGGTTTTGGTGATGAAAAAAGGACTGTTCAAAAAGGCTGAGAGCAATAATTGGTGAATGTTAACCTTGCTGGTTTTTGTGCAAAAGAAAGTGAAGAAGAAGAATTTTGAAGGGCTTTAACCTTGAATGGTGGAAAATTTGTGCAAACACAATATCAAAATACTGTTAACTAAACTCTCATTGAGTAGTAAAATTTTACAAATTTGTAAGGGTTCTGGAAAAATTCCGTTTCTTTTTTTTTTTTTTTTTTTTTGAAGAGTAGCTCCAAATTCCAATGGCCATTTTTTGGTTTCATATCAATACTATAAAATAATTTTTGTTAGAACCATGAACCAATAACACAATGAGATGCCTGTGCTGTATATAAATTATATAATAAACAACCTGAACAGAGCATCTAATGGGCAAGAAAAAAGGAAACATGGAAAGCCAAGTAAATACTGGTAACATCTGATGTTTTTGGCAATTAAAAAGCATTTAAAGCAAGAAAATTAATACGAAGGAAATGCTTGATGATGTACCTGTGTTCAGGAAACTTTGATATTCATCTGGCATCCAAGCCAATGATGAATTTCTGTGTAGCTTGAATGTTTTCTATAAGTGGAAATTGAAATGGTCAAATCAATAGTTAAAAAGTTCATATTAATGTAGACAATAAATAGGAGTAGACATAAAAATGAAAATAAAAAACGACAGCGCAAGTAAATACCCCTAGTCAATTGAAAGCAGTGCAATGCACATCTTTCTCCAGCAAGTCTCACAGGAGTACTTCCATCCTTCAAACATTCAGCAAGTGCTGGCCCGAATACTGCAAAATTGTTCGTAACAACTGGAAAGCCAAGTAAATACTGGTAACATCTGATGTTTTTGGCAATTAAAAAGCATTTAAAGCAAGAAAATTAATACGAAGGAAATGCTTGATGATGTACCTGTGTTCAGGAAACTTTGATATTCATCTGGCATCCAAGCCAATGATGAATTTCTGTGTAGCTTGAATGTTTTCTATAAGTGGAAATTGAAATGGTCAAATCAATAGTTAAAAAGTTCATATTAATGTAGACAATAAATAGGAGTTGACATAAAAATGAAAATAAAAAAACGACAGCGAAAGTAAATGTAATAAATGATGTATTATTGATTGATGTATGTTATATATTACAAATGGTAAGGGGCTCCTTATATAGGAGATGTAGTGGAGTAGGTGGAGTAGGTGGTAGTGGTAGATGTGTAGTAGGTGGTAGTAGGTGGTGGTAGGTGTAGTAGGTGAAGTAGGTGATGGTAGGTTTGAACAGCCCCCCGCAAACTCAAGGGGGATAGGAACTAACCAACTTGAGTTTGGAGAGAGTAACAAAATAAGAAAATACAAGAGGATAGGAGAGACTGTATGGTCGTGTCAGACCGTTGGTGAAGATACTGGATGGTTGTGTCATAACGTTGTAGAGGACACTAGATGGTTGTGGCAGACCGTTGTAGCAGATAATGTTGTGACAGTTGTTGTGACAGTTTACAGAGTCTTGCTGGACCCTTGTAGAAACTAACCGGAATCAATGTCGGGACAGTTTATGGGGTCATGTCGGACCGTTGGAAGAGTCGCACCCTCAAAAGGTGTGCCCAATCTTTCAAAAGGCGTGCCATCAAAAGGCGCGCCCATGTTGTCGTCGAGCGCCGAGCGGCGCATGATGCGCGTGTCTGCCTTGGCTATTTAACCAAGGTTGAGGCAGAGGCTGTGCAAACCAATCTGAAACTGCCGAACATTTGCATTCTGAAATACTCTGTAAACACTCTGTAACCAATCCTTCTCTGAAAGTACCAGTCGGAAATCGCTGCTTCGCTGAAACACTCAGCAACCCAAAAACATGGCCTCTTCTTCCCGTTCAGCTACCCAGAACATGGCCTCTTCTTCCCGTAGTCTGCTCACTCTTTTTCCCGACCTCAACGAGTCCACAAGAGAGATAACTGGTGCGGTTGCCCTGGAACCTCAACCAAGCGCCTCTGTTTTTGTGCCGTTGAACTTTCCGATGCGGTCTGTGGAGCAAAGAATGGCAGTGCAATCGGATGTGGAGGCCAATCAGTATACATTGAAGTCATGTGTGGAAACCATGACTGCGGTCACAAACTTGTCGCACCGGCTGCAGAGTAGGACAAATGAGGTGCAGCAGTTAAACGCCCAACTGGCTCTGCTCCAGCGCATGTATAAGGATGCGCGAGCAGAGATAAGTGTGTTAAAGGCGGAAAACAAAGAGCTGAAGCGGAAGGCCACCGTGATGTTCCGATTTGGAGGTCCGCCATATGCTGCAGTGGAGGAGCAAGGAGGAGGCAACTTGCTTGGTGGTCTAGGAAACATAGAGGCAGCAACGTCAAGGGCCGCCCAGGACGGAGGCAAAAAGAGGAGACCGGCGGCAGAGTAGAGAAGAAAAATCCCGCCGGTGGATGTGGGTGTTGGAACATGGTGATCGGGGTGAGCCCCAACATGAATAAAATGAGTTTGGTGTGCAGTGCTTCTGCTTCTGCTGCTTCTTCTTCTTCTTCTTCTTCTTCTTCTTTTTTTTTTTGTTTTGAAAATAAAAGAAAATAAATTTGAAGAGAAGTATGTGAATAAAATTGAAGAGAAATGTGTGAATGTGAAAGGAATAAAAATAAAAAATAAAAAGGAAATGTGAGATTCAAATTTGTTTGGTCGGGTCCTACCACTAATGGAAAAGTAAGATGATGGATGTGCAAACCAGTGGATGTTTCGGTTTCTTTTCAAAAGATGGAGTAAAATAAATATAAAAAAGAAAAGAAAGTGGAGTGGGGAACAGGAGTGTAATGAAAAAGAAAAAATATAGGTTGGAGAATCTGAGCAACGTGGGAAACAGGAGTGTGGGTAAAGAATAAAAAAGAAAAAGTATAGGTTGAAGAGTGGGTCACATGGGAGAGAGAAAAACAACACACATATGCATGTGCTCTCTCTTGGGCCAGGAGCTCCAGCAATAAATACCTTTCCATTGTTGACAGTAGCTACTAATGCAACATGTTGTTGATCTCGACCAAACTCATAAAAGTAGTAAGTCCTGAAACCTTCGTCTTCTTTAATTTTTATTGAGCGAGCAGAGTATAGAGTTGACCCACCTGGAACAAATATTTTTGCTGCATCCTTCAATGAACCCAAATCTGTTATATCTTTAGCCTCTAAAAAGGTGATCTTGAGTTGATTGGATGGGCGAATGACAACACTTAAAACTTCAGATCCATCTGAAGATGCAAACCGTGCTGCAAAGGTCTTTGGCTTAGCCTTATCTCCATAAAGAGATAATCCAGCATTATAATCCTCGGGCTCCATGATGTCCTCGAACTGAGGAGGAACGCGAATGGCAAAGCCGCTGCCATAGAACTGGAACCAAGACTTGGTGTTCGCAATGCCCGAAAGAATCGACTTTGAGGGCGATTTTTCGGCCAAGGAAATGGGAATTGGGTAGTGAAGAGTTAGAGAGAGAAAACAAAGAGAAGCAGTGTGGAAGACGAAAGAGAAGTATGGGCATGAGCATGAGAGAGAGTAGGGATTAAGATGCCATTCATGGCTGGTAGTAACTCAAGAAGGATTTCCCAGACATGGATGTGATTGGCATCTCTGGAAACTTTTGCGCGGATAAGAAGCCAGCAGCAGTGAACTGGATTGGAGGGCGTGGAAAATCAGTTGTTTGTGAAGCAATCATCAAAGAAGAGATAGTGAAGAAGGTATGTGTAGACAATTCTAGCGGACTAGGTTGAGGTCCGGCGGGCGGCCAAGGCGAGGTTGCCGCCCGCCGGTGAAGCGAAAAATACTAAGTGCTTAACCTTGCTCTGATACCATGTAATAAATGATGTATTATTGTTGGTGAAGCGAATATTGCAAAATTGTTCGTAACAACTGTAGGATTTTCTTGCCCATATAACTTCATTGTTAAAACTAGCTCTTAATTTTTTAATGAGACTAAAAATAAAAAAAATAAAAAAGGGGTATATTATTATATACGGAAAATGCAAATGGTCAAGAATGTACTTTTGCAACTACTTTTAGAGTAGATAATGCTCTTCTTCTAACTTACTAGAGTCATCCTACATGACTGATACCAAGGATGTAAGAGTTTCCAAATGTGCAGTGGTGTTTAAGGGTTCATTCTTAATTTGATGAAGTAGAAGCTTCCCTAACGCTTTTGTTGATGTTTCACAAACAGGGAACTATATGAGAAAGGCTGTCAGAACCCAATTAATACTAAGAAAACAAAAAAATATTTTTTTTTTCGTAAAGAGTGTAATACCTTCTCATCTTTTAAGGGAGATTTCAATAGTTGAGAACATTGGAGGTGCACAACTTATTGAAGGAATTATGCCTGAGCATGGAAGAGGTTGCAAGTGCTGAACCTTGCATAGCAAACCAGCTAGAAGAGACTAAACTTAAGAGTTCCTCAAGTTGCTCAGAGATTTGACCATCTTCCATGTACTGCAATATCATGAATTTAGAGTTCCGTTTGAAACAAAAGAAAGCCAAACCAAAAAAATAGTTAAAACCATTGTTAATCATATTGTTTAATTTTGATGATGTCTAAAATATTATTTGAAAAAATTGGATTTTTTTAATATACATATTATTTGACAAATTTGATATTGATTAATTGTATTATTTTGATAATTTTGATATTGATGAGTTGTCTTCTTTTGACAAAAGTGATATATCCACATCGAGTGGTAGGTTATGCTTAGTTTAAAATCTCTACAAAAATTTAAAAACGGTATATATGTTCATATCTATTATAAATATTACTTAAAGAGATTTTGCTATATATGCAAATATTTGTTTAGAATATTATATACAATGCATATAATTTGAATAGAATACATCATGTGAGCAATTAGATTTTTTCACTACATTGATTATATCATATATATATATGGAGTAAATCATTCCATATACGTAAAAAAGCCGCTCGGATCCCTTATGAAAATGAATCCTACTTTGAATCGTTTAAATGCTAGGTCGTTCCCCTCAAGTGACGCGTTCGCGTTGCGCCTGCCTCCGGGTGTTTCGAAAAGTGAGCAAGGGGCGCCGCATCGACGCCTGGGTGCGGTGAAAAATGGGCAAAGGTTTTCACTTTTTTCTGGACGAGCGCGGGTAAAGAAGCTAGTCCAAGACTATAGGTTTAGGATAGCCACTTGGAACATAGGAACCTTAACTGGTAGGACGATGGAATTGGTAGATGTTATGATTAGGAGGAGAATTAGTATAGCTTGTATACAAGAAACTAAGTGGACGGGAGAGAAAGCTAGGGAAATTGAGGATACTGGTTTTAAACTTTATTATAGTGGTAAGGATAGACGCAGGAATGGGGTAGGAATCATAATTGCCAAGGGTCTTGTGGAAAGTGTAGTGGCGGTCACTAGGAAAGGAGATAGGATTATGCTAATTAAACTAGTTATTGGAGGAAATATAGTGAATATTATTAGCGCTTACGCCCCTCAAGTAGGGTTAGATGATCAGACTAAGAGGGATTTTTGGGAGCAAATGGATGATATCTTACAGGAGATACCCGTAGGAGAGAACCTGGTTATAGGTGGAGATTTTAATGGCCATGTGGGCATAGATAAAGTAGGTTATGAAAAGGTGCATGGTGGATACGGTTTTGGTGACAGAAATGAGGCTGGAGAGAGAATCTTAGATTTTGCGTTGGCTTCTGACCTGGTGGTGGCCAATACTATGTATAAGAAGAGGGATGAGCATTTGATAATCTTTAAGAGTGGATTAGTTAAGAGCCAAATAGATTATTTCTTAGTGAGAAAAGTGGACTGCCTAAAATGCAATGATTGTAAGGTGATTCCTGGTGAGAATCTGGTCTCTCAACATAGGATTTTGGTACTAGATTTATGTTTTAGAGGGCAATACCAAGTTAGGAAGGATGGTGGACGTCGTAGGACAAGATGGTGGGACTTAAAAGGGGATAAACTGGGGATAAGGAAGGTACTTGGGACTTAGAAGGTGATGCTAACACTATGTGGAATTCGATGGCCAATTGTATGAGGAGAATCTCAAGGGAAGTGCTTGGAGAGTCGAAAGGAACGGGACCCAGCTCTAGGGAAACTTGGTGGTGGAGGGAAGAGGTCCAAGCGGTAGTTAAGACAAAAAAATAGTGCTTTAAAAAGTGGCAGAAGGATAGAACTGAGGAAAACCTTAAGAGCTATAGATTGGCTAATAAGGACGTCAAGAAAGTCGTGAGAGAGACTAAGTTGAAAGTTTATGATGACCTATACACTAGACTAGATAGTAAGGAGGGAGAGAAGAGGGTATACAAACTTGCTAAGATACGAGAGAGGAAAACAAGAGATTTTAATCAAGTAAAGTGCATCAAGAGTGAGGATTCTAAGGTATTGGTGAAGGATGATGAGATTAAGGAAAGATGGAAGAATTATTTTGAGAAACTGTTAAATGAGGAACATGGAAGTACGACAATAGGGGAAGAAATAATCAGTAATACGATAAACCAAGACTATAGGTTCTATCGCAGGATTAGAAATTTTGAAGTGGAGATTGCACTTAAGAAGATGAAATCAAATAAGGCTTTAGGACCTGATGATATCCCTATTGAAGCTTGGAAGTGTTTGGGTAAAAAGGGAGTTGCTTGGTTAACTAGATTGTTTAGCAAAATTTTGTTGACTAGGAACATGCCAGATGAGTGGAGGAAGAGTATTTTAGTACCAATCTATAAGAATAAAGGTGATGTCCACAGACACCAAGGATTAAAACTGTGAATCAAAACTGAAAAGGAAAAATGAACGAGATTATGAACAGAAGTGAGTTTCGATGTTATCTTATACTAGGATATGTGGGATATTTTTCATCAATAAGCATAGTGCCTCCCCTCTCTCTTTACATGTGTGTGCCTGTAAGTCTCCATGTGTTTGGCTTTCTTTTCATCCTTCTTCATTTCATCATATGGAACACGATAGCATATTTGCCAACAATGACAGCAATTACTGGTAACATGAAAAATTTGATGTGAAATCATACACAAAGACATTAATTCCTAATCAGATAAGCATAGTGCCTCCCATCTCTCTTTACATGTGTGCGCCTGTAAGTCTCCATGTGTTTGTCTTTCTTTTTCATCCTTCTTCATTTCATCATATGGAACACGATAGCATATTTGCTAGCAATGACAGCAATTACTGGTAACATCAAAATTTTGATGTGAAATCATACACGAAGACATTAATTCCTAATCAGATATGTATAAAACATCCATCAAAACTTATCATATTGGCCACATCAAATCCAACACTTGCTTGCAAACAGGAAAATACCTGCCAATTTTGAGCTTATCAACTGGTTCAAACGAGTGAGGATAGTGGAAGAGAGAGAATAAGAGAAACAAAAAAAAAGAGACACCTGTGTGATAAACGAGTACTCATTAGACTAAAAGGAAAGTTATATAGAGCGTCTAATAAACCAGGGATGTTGTATGAGGCGGAATGTTGGGCAACTAAGAAACACCATGTAGATAAGATGAGTATTGCTAAGACGAGGATGCTAAGGTGAATGTATAGCAAGACTATAAAAGATAGAATTAGGAATGAGTATATTCGTGAATGGGTAGGAATAGCACCGATAGAAGATAAGTTGAGAGAGAATCGTTTGAGATGGTTTGGTCATATTCAACGGAGACGAACAGAGGCAGCAGTGAAGAGATGCGATGCTGTAACGGCAGATGGAAGTGTTAGGGGACAGGGTAGGCCTAGATTAACGTTGACTAGCGTTATAAATAGAGATATGAATCTACTTAATTTGACTAATGAAATGGCCTTTGATAGGGCTGCGTGGAGAAGAAGGATTCATGTAGCCGACCCCATGTGATGGGACTTAAGGCTTGGTTTGGTTTGGTTTGGTTTATTATCTATAATGTTCGCATTGCCTACAAAAGAAAAATAAAAAACAGTGACTCCATGTTTGAAAAAAAGGAAAAAGATGGTTTTACTTTTATCATTTTTTTTCAAACGTTATCATTTGCTGTCTATTTGATCAAGGAGCATGCCCATGTAATCCATGACGTCAACAAGGAGTGCCCTACTTCCAACGGGCATATTTTTGTGTATAAATAGAAGTGTTGTATGTGGAGAAAAATAAAAAACTTGAAGAGAAAAAATTTCTGTGTTCCAAAATTTTGAGTATATTGTGTTATGCTCTTTCACTTTCAGGTCTAAGTGTAACCTTTGTCTTACACTTTCATATTTACTCTTTGTAAGAGAATTATTGTAAAAGAGGGTTTAAGTACCACTTTTTTTTATTCATTATTTTTGTGAGAGACTTTTGTAAGGGTAAGGCATTTATTGTTGAGTAAGGCTCAATAGATAAGAGTAAATCCTGTGCAAAATCAACAAGCTTGGTGAATACTTAGTTGTGTATTAATTCATTTTGATAGTAAAGAAATTCTCAAGGGGGTTCCTTGGGGAGTGGACGTAGGCCTGAAATGCCGAACCATTATAAATCTCAGTATCTAATTTTCTTTTTCTATTTCTCTTACTTTTATATTGATAATTATTATTCTGTTTTTTATTTGTTAAAATTCTGAATATTGTGTTTATAAATTTTAATATCGTAAATTTTTTTAATAACCCAATTCACCCCTCTCTTGGGTTGCCTACCTGGGATAACAACCATATTCTCCAATATAAATTTGAATGAGGCACTAGGATCATGAAAATGCAATTGATCTCAGGAAGTGGTCTTATTGGTAATATTTAATTCATAGCTAAACATAGGAACAATACAACAAGGAAATATGTGAACCTTGTACTTGAACCAAAGTCAGAACATAGTCACAGTGAACAGACATAAAGTTCTTTGCAACTTACAGACCTGTAAAATGATGCCCAATATACTTGAAGCAGAAGCTCGAATTTGGTCATCATCATGATATATTAAGTCCTTGAGAAGAGTGTAGACACGAGTTCTAACGGTACTGCTCACACTTTTACCAGCATGCTTGAGTACACCCTTTAAAGCAGTCAAAATGGCCTCGCGGACCCCACCATCCGATACCTGATAGTTGATATCTGAATAGTTAAAATATCCAGCTAAAAATCAAAATAGCAACAAATGATGCAAGATAACAAGTATCACCTGCAAACTCGTGATAAGATCACCGACTAAAGGGTCAACCCTAGTACTGAGTGCACTAAGCTTCCCAAGTGCAAGGGCAGCACTTGAGCGAACAGACCTGTTTTAGTTCCATATCTCATAAGAATAGGAGGTAAAAGAGCATGCAAGCTGTGCTACTTACAAACAACTAACTACTAATACAAGTTGGTCAAATAAACCAATTAAAAAAACAAAAGTTATCATGAGCAGTCTAAAAATAACGAATTTAACAATTTTATGTTTAATAAGATAATTGTTTACAACACATTAAAGTCCCTTCCGATTGTCCAAATATAGGTTGGAAAGAAAAATTCAAATCAACCTTGTATTATCCTGCAAACACTTGATAAATGTTGTTTGAAGCTGTGGAAGAAAAGGTTTCAGGGCCATACCACCCTTCTGTATCATGATGGTCAAAGTTGACAAAATTGCACTCTTCACCTACCAAGGGAACCGATCACCTATTATCCAGATCAAAGGCCTGCAATAAAAGAAAACATCAACACCAAAGTCAGCATGGATAAGCAATTGAAAAGAATTCCAAGGTTCAACAATTTTTTCATTTTTATTTTCAAATCTTCTGATTCAATGTCATTTTTTATAGTATGTGCCAAATTCGCGGGCGGCTTGGGTTATGCGCCAGAGAGGGCGGCTTAAGATATGCGCCAGAGGAGGCGGCTTGGGTTGTGTGTCAAAGGGGGCGACTTGGATTGTGCGCTAGAGAGGGTGGCTTGGATTGTGCACCAAAGAGGGCAACTTCGATTGTGTGCCAGAGGGGGCAGCTTGAGGAGTGCGCCAAAGGAGGCGGCTTAGGAGTGCACCAAGGGGGTGGCTTAGTTGGTGAGCCAAGGAGGGCGGTGTGGGTGGTGCACCAAGGAGGGCGACTTAGGTAGCGCGCCAAGGGAGCAACTTGGGTGGTTTGCATGGTAAGCATGCTCACTATGAAATAGGTATAATACCCCCCTCAAACTCAAATAAGTTTGAAGACAGAAACCTATTTGAGGTTGAAGCAAAGGGAAAGACAGAGTGGAGCAGAAACACAAAAAAAAAAAAAGATTGCGAGTAAAAAAATATGATAGAGATATTTAGGGTAGAAATAAATTAGCGGACAAAGTAAGAGATCACCACGAAGCGATACTGAGAAAAATATGGCAGTGGAATGGGTTGAGGTCTAGCGGGTTGCCAAAGTAAGGCTGCTTCCCGCTGGTGAAGCAAAATTACTAGGTACTTAACCTAGTTCTGATACCATATTATAATATCTGTGAGAGAGAGAGAGAGAGAATATTATATTATGTGTATATTCAATGAATAATTATGTAATAGTATATACAAGATTCCTTTATATGGGAGGAGAGAAACCTAAGTATGGTAATCCTAAATATAGTAATGAATATAATATGGTATCTATGATAGATACAATATATAGTTACTATATTTAACAATACCCATGAGCTGTTTGAAAATTACCTGTGAGAAGTGGTGAGCAACCTAATATGCTTGGTGCTCTTGTTCGAATGGATTTTATGTTGATTTTCTCGTTTACAAATTATTTTATATTGTTGTGGCTTTCTTGGTGAACTGATTCTATAATACTGCTTGTATTCTTTTTGACTTGATGTTGTTTTTATGTGTTATTATTAATTAATTTGTTTTGTTTAAATATCAGGTATGAGGTAGAGGGTTAAATTTTGAGTTTTGGAGTGGTGTGGAACTTTGGGTGTGAAAAGAGAATGCATCAGAATAAGTTTGGAAGACTAATCTTTCAGGGAATGTTATATAACAGCAGCAGAAAATAGTGACCACCCAAGTTATTTTCCTTGGTTTTTTTGGTGGTGGTGTGGAGGGAAAAGAAAATTAACTGTCTACATGCCTACTCTCTCCCAAATCTGACTGTAAGCAGGAGCCACAGTCATCGTATGACCTTAATTTCATAAGGCACTACCATAAACAATTTAAGGGGGCTGACAGAATTTGAGATGGTTTGTTCCACTAAGGCTTTGTTCACAACTTGGAATTGCTACGAGAAAAAGAAAACCCATTTACCTTCATGTTTACACCCCGACTTTGTAAAACAACGTATTAAAACCAATTCTATGAAATCATGAAAAAGAGAAGGAGAAATGATATCTAAAAAGAAATAAAACATTTCCACAAACTGCAATCATATTTTCTATTCACCATCAGTTCTACGGTAACCAAACCAAAAATAAAGAATTCCTTTGCATTTGCTTTTCTGTTTTCCTCAACAAATGCATAAACCAAATGAAGTATAAATGTGGGGCTATCTATCAAGAGATATAGGTTGAAGTTTTAAAGCTTATTCAGTTATATATACACCTTACTCTTTTTCCATTTCTCTATGCATTTCTCTCAATTTTCCATCCCGTGCTTTCTCAAACATCTCGTACTAAAATTATTTAGTGCTATTATTCAATTTTCCTACTAACTGCAGCAGGGATACTTTGATGAACATAGCAAAGCACTATGAAACTGGATTTCAATATTGAGTCTACATTTTAGGTAGGCATGAGTATTATTTTACCCACCTCCATGTGATGATGATGTACAAGTTTATCTTACAAAAAAAGGTAAAGCGAGTTTACGGAGAATGAGCTATTTTGCTAAATAAAGTGTATTTGTCTGCTATTTCTTTATTCTAATGAAGTGTTTCTATTGAATTTGGTTATGTGTCTGTGGAGAGGCCGTATTTGTTTACATGGTAGAAATTGTATTTCTTTGTCATCCTATTATTTTTTGGTAGTTGAGATTTCCATGTGTTGATCTGGAGCTGCATAGCAAGTATGTTCCTCCTGGTGGTTCAGAAAAAAATATATTAAAATATTTTTCTTTTTAGAGAATTTGTAACAATTTTGCTTGTATTACACGTTCTACGAAACTTAGAGAAAGTAACAACTCCCCCAGTTTTAGCCATATATTTGCAGGTTCGATCTTCCTTTTAATTTAATTTTGTGTCTATCAGCAATATATCTAATGCTAGTTGCTCATGCTATTTCACTGTTCACTGACACTGCCAATGAGTAATCTTCACGGCAATGTTTAGTTTTCACTTGTATTGTCTAAAGGCAGACCCTTCTACTTGAAAGCATCATGAAATTAACTCACTGACCTTGCTTAAGTTTAGATGTCATAGAATTGAAACAACAGTACCTCTAACTAAGTTTTCAACTTCAACAAATAAGACCAAATGAATCTTTTCTTTTTTAGGGGAGGATATGGTTTCAAAATATTCTTGGAAGTGATAAAAGTTTCTGCCAAGGGAATCAACTTCAACTGAGATATAAACATTACTGCTCATCATATAAGACTTGTCATACCGTACAATAAACATTTGATAAGGAGAGAGCTGAGGGAATAGGAATTAATCACACACACACACACACACACAGAGACAGAGGAAACAATATTTCAGTAACAAAGCACAGTCAATGAGAATGAAAATCATCAAAATTCCATCTAAATTCATGATCTACCCTATCCAAAAGTGATCTTATTTACTACATTTAGTATCCTACCACCTTCAACCTCCAATATAACTATCATCCACAAGGCAATCAAGTCACACCAATAATAAGCAATAAGTGAAAGGAAAATGCCAGGTACTCGAAATTGGAGGGGGCTCGAATGCCCCGAATCCTAGTAGTGCCAAAACGATGTCGTTTTGGCACTTTTTTTTTCCCTTTCTATTTCCTTCTTCCTTCCCCGTCTCTTTCTCTCTGAAACTGGTTTGAGAGAAAGAGAGAGAAACAGAGAGGCGAGAGAAAGAAAGGAGGAGGAAGATAGGAGAAGAAAAAAAAAGAGAGGGGGAACAGAGGAACCAGGTCGCGAACCACTCGAACAACCACAACCCAACCCACCGCCATGGACGGAGAGGCCGAAGCTAGATCTTCGGCTGTAGCTGTGGGTTTGGTTTTGATTTTGGGATTTGATTTTGGATTTGGATTTGGATTTTGATTTTAGGTTTTGATTTTGATTCTGAGTTTGGATTCAGAAAAGAACAGAGGAAGAAGAGGAAGGAAAAAGAGAAGGGGAAGGAAGAAGAGAGGGGCAAGGACCAAACCAAAAAAAAAAAGAAAAAAGAAAAATTATTTTGATTCTGAGTTTGGATTCAGAAAGAACAAAGGAAGAAGAGGAAGGAAAAAGAGAGGAGGAAGGAAGAAGAGGAAGAAGAGAGGCGGAAGGAAAAAGAAAAGGAAAAAAAATAAAAGTGTCAAAACAACGTCGTTTTGGCACATTCGAGCCATTCGGGCTACTTTACTTTCGAGCTACCCAGCATTGTTGTAAATGGAATATCATCTTGGCATACTAAGTAGCATCACATAGAACAAATGAACAATGAAATAAAGCTCTACGAAGAAAACTGCGGGGATAGAAAAGCTAAATTATATTTTGAAGGAAGTTTTCTTATAGGATTCAACGTTTAATTCTCTCTCCAAACACACAGTAAAGGAATGAATACATTTGGATACAAAATTTATTTTTCATAACAGTATTACTACAGTACAAGTCTATAATTAATGAGTGTTGTAAAGAATAACATGGCAAACTCAGGTTGAAGGGGGATTTACATTTCAGCATGTTGCAATTGGTCTGCTGCGAATTTTTCATTTAGGCATTGCATCAAACAGTTGGTGAGCAGAAGGTGTAACTGGCAGCAGAAATTCATGACAAACCACACATGTATCAGCACAAACCAAACTGAAAAACAGAGAGGCAAAGACAATTACCCATCAAGCAAACATAGGACCATTTCCCACTTATGTTAGATCTAACACTATTTGGGAACCTAAGAGAGAAAATAAAAGAAAGGATTACTTAAGTAATAAAAGAAAAGAAAAGAAATGATTGTGATTTCTCTCCTTTTTGTTTGGATAAGGAAGAAATAAAAGAAAAGAAATGATTGTGATTTCTCTCATTCTTGTTTGGTTAGGTTTCATTAAGAGAAAAGAAAACAAATTATTTTATGTTATATTATTAAAATAACCTTTTTATATTTTCAATCATTTTATTTCTTTTATTTTTATAGAGATAAAATTGGTATTATGAAAATAGTGGTTTCTTTTCTCTCCCAATCTCTCCACTTTTGGAAGATTGAAAATGAGGCTTATAAGAGAAATGAGTTTTTCTCCATTTCTTCCTATTTCTCTCTACTTAAGTTATCCAAACAAATAAAAGAAATACATATCACTCTATTTCTTTTCTTTTCTCTCCAAATCACTCAATCTAAACATAGCGTAAGTTTTGCTGTTTTTATAGGACGTTATAGAAACGGGTGTACACCTATATTTTTCTCTAAATTTGGTCTGTATATATTATGAGATAACATGTTATCTTACGCACTGTTACGCAGCCTTATGGGCTCATTTCGGAATTTGATTCGATAATTCGAATCGTTCACATTTTAGAGTCCAGCAAGTAAAACATATTTATAAAAAATTAAATTACTCAGATATCGTTAATCCTTTCATCGACTCACATTTGTATTTATAAAAATAAATAACATTGTGATTTAAAATATTAAAATAAATAACAATGTAAATAGATGAAAGGATTAACGATATCCGATTAATTTGATTTTTTATAAGTATATTTTACTTAATGTGCTTTAAAATGTGAATGCTTCAAATCATCAAATCGGACCTTGAAATAATCTCATAAAATCGTACAATAGTGCATCCGTTATCTTATGTCATATTTTTTCTCTTATTTGACATTTATTTAGTTATTTGGGAATAATAAATACTTTACCACCTGCAATGAGTTTCTCGCCATACCCATCTTGTGGCCTCAATCTGAACCTGTATGCATGATCGGGATAAGTTTTATAGTAAAAAATATCTATACAAAAACTCAGTTTTATTGTATAACTACAAATACAAAAATAAATTACATTTTATGTTATAGAATAGATAATTTTAATTTATAATTATATTTGTCATTTATTCTATAAAATAAAATATAATTTGCTCCTATATTTATAGAGGTTCAATAAAATTGATTTTTTATGCTGATAACTTTTATTTTAAAGTCTACAAAATAGGCGGTCTATATCATTGATGCAGGTCTAAATTGAAGGAAATATTATGATACACACATATGTAAGTTATGTGATTTGTGAGTATTATTCAATATTATGAAAATCATAATTAAAAAAAAAAATTGAGTTATAACTAAATATGTACGACCAAACACCTTTGGAATAATAATCAAAATTTTATCATAACTAATATCAGAAATATGTCATAACTAATTAACTTAAAAATCGTAACCAAAATGCATATGATGGAATTTCCCCAAATTGAAACCCACAAAAAAATATTCAGTGTGTTTGGTTTCAATTTTTTAAATTTAATTTTTTGAAAATTAAGTTTTTTTATTTTTCATGTTTTTTATTTTTAGTGAATATTTTTAAAATTTTAAGTATTTTTTTAAAACTTTGTTAGCTGCATTCAGATGTATCTAAAAAGTAAAATATTTTAAAAAACTAATAAATATACAAGAATACAAAAAATATACTAAATTCTTATATTTTTTTTATGTATTTTTAATATTTAGTGAATTTTCTATTTTTTTTTTACAAACATTATACTCTTTAAATATATTTATATTAGGTGTATTTAAAAATTAAAAAAATTACTTAAAATATTAAAAAAATTCAAAAAAAAAAAACACAAAAGCAAATAAAAAATGTGTTTGGTTTGTATTTGTAGAGTAATTTTTGAGATAAAAAGTACAAAAACTTGTTTGATTTGCTTTTTTTTCAGAAATGGTTTTAAAAAATTGTTTTGGAAAGAGAGTTTTAAAAAAAGTGATTGATTTGATTTGTATGAGAGAGAGAGTGATTTTAGAAAGTAGATAACCAAAGAAAATTTTGAGATTTTTTTTAAAAAAATTTATTTGATTTAATTACTCTTAAAAATTTATTTGTAAAAATTTTTTGTCAAAAATTTTTCTGACAAACAAACCAAACAAGACCTTTAATTTTCTGAAAAATAAACCCTCAAAAGTCCAAAAAAAATGAAAAAAAAATTGAAGGTACCTCATCACAAAACAGTCCCCTTATGTGCTTTTGTTTTTGTTTCTCTGTCTCTCTCACTCTCTATCTCTCTCTCTGTTGATCTATCTCCTCCATTGCAGAAGCTCATATCTTCACTGCTACTTCTCAGTTTTCTCCTTTCAACAGTGCTGCGGAGCTTCCAAAATCTAACGTTTCTCATAATGTTAGGGTTCAAAAGTTTACGCTTCAATTCTTCCACAACAGTTCTTCCCTCAGGTTTCTCCCTCTATGTACCTACCCATCTATATATACGTTTTCTATGATATATTCCTATATTTTATCTGATTCATTGCATGTATATAACTGTTCTCTAACGAAAATTTTCATATAATCTTATCTGATTCATACTTCTGTGGTACCATATCTTAGAGAAATAATAACCCTATTTTTTATTTTTATTTTTTTTTGTTGGGGGGGGGGATGTTACTGGGGGGTTAATAAAAATCATACAATAGGTAATTTATAACTCCCTTGTGATTTATGGGTTTGGAATTATGTTACAAACCTGAATAAGGGTAGCATGTCAGTTAGCTTATAATAGTGCTGATGATGTAGCATAAGATTGGAAGTTTGTTAATAATATAGGAGTAGACTTCAATTGTAATTCTGTTTCAATAACCTTGTATAAACAGGCTAAGAAGATTGATGAAAAGAGACATCAATGATTGTAAAGAATTTCCGAAAGATCAAATTCTTCCTTAAGAAAACAAGATGTTAATTGTTTATTGTTGAAGTTTTTATTACACAAATTATTGGACCCAAGTGGATTTTTTGTGCTTATGTACCAGAAAGAGAACTGTTTTAATAACGTTGCATATAAATAGGTTAAGAAGATTGCTGATAAACATTGTTGATTGTAATCCATTTTATTGTCAAGAAAATAATTTTCGAAAGTTCGAGTTCTTCATTAAGAAAACAAGACGTTAATTGTTTATTCTTGAAATTTTTGTTACAAAAATTATTGGATCCTAGTAGATTTTTGTGCTTATGTACTACAAAGAGAACTTATTTTTGATGAAGAAGAATTTAATAATTTACACTGGAAACTTGGCTGTTGCGTTTCATCCATGCAAGAGAATTTTAGTAGTAGGAGATTTAACTTGGAGGATATTAATTTGGAAGGATTTTGACTAGAGAGCGTTCACTGGAAGTGACAAAACTAGTAATTGCGGGATTGATGAACAATGAGAATGAAAGGTTTGGGGTGAGGAGAAATGATAATATTGAATCCTGCATCACATGGCAAAGACATTCTATTGAAGTGAAACTTTTCTTTTTTGATGGAACTTATCTAAATTTAGGTGGAAAAGGAGTTTTTATTGTTTGGCCGATAGAGACAGGGAAGAAGAAATTTCTAATGCCTATTGGATCTTTATTTTATAAATTTTCCAGATGATTAAATTCATCTCCTGAAAATGCCTTCAATAAAGATCTTGAAGTTTATTTCTAGGATCAAGCTTCCTTGTTCAGTTCCAGAGATTTGCAAAGGGTAAGGTAGTGGATTTGTCTTTGATTATACTACCGCATCAGTTGCTGTACATGCGAAGAACTATTGCATTCAATTCTCCAGCTTATTTGTTGATTGTGAAATTTTGGAGGTTCAAGTCTATAAAAGAAACCAACAAGCAGGTGATGAATTCAAACTGATGGCTACTTTAGAGGTCCTCTCTCTCGATGGTTTTGTCAGGAGTAGTGTTGAATTGGGTTTCTAGATTGTTAGTCTTGAGTTTTGGACATGTGGATTGCAGAATAAAGAATTCAACTTATCCACCGTCTTATATGAGCCACACATGGACGCTGGTATTTTTCAGCTATTGCTTTCCATCCGACATGTCATATGGCTGTTAGAAGCTCCTATTCTTGAAACTTTCGTCCCAAAGTCTACGACCTCACAGCTCAAGTAATCCAATACCTACACTACACTCAAATGATGTTCTTTTAACAGTCAACATCTATCCATTCCGTAGCTTGTATGGCAATACTTACTTTCTCTTTGACATTCTTTGAGTGGAAATGGAATCTTTACTAGAAAAGACTGCATGGGTATATCAAGGATTGAAAGCCTTGAGGACAAGGCTTGTTCCATGGGGGTGGAATGTTACAAACCTGAATTGTAGCTAGTCAGTTAGCTTATATGGTTAAATAGTGCTGATGTTGCATAAGGTTAGAAGTTAGTAAGTCAGTTGCAAGATTAGAGGTATTATGTTGTGCTTTGTTTTCATGAATAGCAATATAGTGGACTCTAATTGTAATTATGTTTAAATAGACTTATATAGGCTAAGAAGATTGCTGAGAGACATTGATAATTGTAATTCATTTTTCTTGTCAAGAAATAGATATAAAACTCTTAATCTTCAATTTGTTATTGAAGAAAATATGTGAGCTTTTCTTCTTTAGCTAGGGTTGTAACAGAATAATTAAGGACAAAAAGAATTTCTTTAATATGTTTAAATGTTTAGTTTTTGTGTACAGTTTTTTTTTTTCTTTTTTGTGTCATATAGCTAATTAATCATTTTTTCAAACATTTTCTATCCTTAGTATAGCATGTGAAGCTCTCAGTGATGTCACATACACTTGCACACATGCACGCCATAGAGTTCCCAATTTGTGTAACCAAAGCTGGAAGATGCATTTTCCTTGTCATCATGTATCAGTTTTGTTATTTGAGATTCTAGTGTTGCATTCTATTTGATAAGTCATGCAGTGCTTTTTTGTTCTGCAGGCACGATACCATTGGCAGCAGTTATGTGTGCTGATTATCCGACAGCAGGTAATAATGGATCTGCAGTAAGTTTTGAAAGATTGAAAGCCCAGAGAGTAAGGCTTGTTGCCAAAAAAATTGCCAGGATGAAGCAAGATACCAATAACTATGATGACATAATTGTAGAAGATGCACCTCTCAGTGTATCTTGTAGTAAACAGTCTGAACCTGCATTCCTGGGGGAACATGAGACATTACATGATATCAGATGTAGAAGTGTATCAAGAGAATCTGAATCACCAGAAACCAGAGACACAATGCAAAGTGTGAGGACAAGTGAAGACATGGACCATTCAGAGATAGCTGTTAAATCTGGTGGTAAACAACTCTCAAAGCGTCAACTTACGCCAAAAAAATCTAAGGAATTTGACAAACAAGATGTTTCAGGTCCTAGAGTTACTGTTGCCTCCTTAAGAGGATGGGGTAATGGACGGTCCACTTATAATGACGAATATATATCCACAGACAATGTAAAGCACTCACGAAAATTGCCTGCTGATGGTGCTTTTTTCAGTCGAAAGTCATTTAGAGAATTGGGATGCAATGATAATTTGATTGAGTCTCTAAGGGGTCAGCATATCGTACGCCCTTCACGCATTCAGGTACGTTAACACAGTGTTCTAATAGATCATTATCATCTCAACCAATATTTTTATTATTTGGTGGTGGAGGGATTATTCATCAATGTTCTCTGATGATAATTTTAATATGTCTGTATGATAGAATTGGTTTGGTTTATCAAATTTATATTGGCAGACATTGTTCACTTGCTGGGTGGTATGTTCTTTGGACCACTGGGAACCTGTAATGTAACTTTTGCTTAACTGAATACACTTGTGATCAAGTCTATGGACCTTATTTTGCTTCATTGTGGGTTTTTAGGTTCTATTGATAGGGGATTTTTTACCTGTAAAAAGAGACTCAGATTTTGAATGACAAATTGTTGATTGTGTTAAGTGTCTGCTGATAATAGTATTGCATTACAGGTCTACTGGTTGGTACATTATCAACTTTCAAGTAGCACTTCTGTTAGGCTGAGCCTCTCCTTTTGTATTAGGTTTATAATGTCCTAACGCATAATGTTCAGTCTATAATATATTAATAGACATGTAAATTTATTTATTTTTTTACCAAAAAAAAAGAAAAAAAGAAACTAATTGTGTAAGGAAATTCCTTCAAATTGGGTTTTATGATTAAAGCTCATGTATATTTGTTGAATCTATTACAAAACACATTGCTTCCATTGCATATCTTTATTTGGGTTTTAGTGAGCACCAACAATGTCTGTTAAAACTATCTTTAATAACTGCAGTCCTTGGCATTTGCACCTGTTATTGGAGGAAAGAGCTGCATTATAGCTGATCAAAGTGGCTCTGGAAAAACTTTAGCATATCTTCTACCAGTAATTCAGCGTCTTAGGCAAGAAGAGCTCCAAGGACTTGGAAAGTCCTTACCACAAAATCCTAGAGTTGTTATATTGGTACCAACTGCTGAGTTGGCTTGTCAGGTCTGTACCATTGTTCTATCTCATTTCTTTGTTGTTGGTGTTCTTTGTAGTTTTTTTCTTTATGAGATATATATATGCATACTTGTATGTGTATAATATGTTAGCTTGCTTGTTTCTTTCTCCTTTTTGTTTCTTGCGAATTTACTAATTGAATTCCACTACTACATATTTGACCTTGTTTCTCAGTGCATGAAAGATATAATATTGTCTTTTAGGTTCTTCAAAATTGATGTAATATTTATCCTTTGGATTAGTTATTGTTACTTCTGGAGTCCATTAGAAGCTCAATAAAACCGGATTCAAAGGTGAGATATCTTAAAGCGGGGTTCAATTTGAAGGCTGATCCACTTCCTGCTTTACCATTAATGTTTTGCGTCAGCCCCAATCTTATTTTAATATTTGTCCTGAGTTAATAAGCTGGAGGCACGGATATGGATATGAGAAACGGATACAACGATACGATAAAACTTTTAAAAAAATAAGATATGGATACGGCTAAAATACGTTTGTAAAAAAAATATATTTTTTAAAAATTATTAGTAGTAAGCTACACGCAAGCTCAAGAATGTTGAGAAACCATTGTAATTTTATAATGCGAAATACTAACCTTTAAGAATTAGGTATTAATTTAAGCCACTAGCTTGTTTACTTTTTAAATTTTCAATAGGTCTTGCAAATATTTCATTTCAATATCAAGTCTAATATGTTTATGTTACAATAGTAGAACATTCCACAAATTGTTCTCGTGTTTTTCCCTTTGGCACAAGTAACAAATGTTATATTCAAGTTTACTTTCTTATTTATTTATTGATATTTAATTTTACTATTACTATATTTTCTTGTTAATCCTTACTTTCTATGTAGTTATAGGGGACCTGCATGAAGCAATTATGATATATCAATCTGACAAATTCTATTACTTTAACTTACTATGTTCTTCTCTTTAAAGAACTAAACAAACTATTAGAAAAATATTATTGTATTTGTCCTTGTAATTATATTATATTATAATGCTATGCAAAAAATGACAATTATAATTTCGTAAAAGAACTAATACGTGACTTGGCGTAGCCAATACTTCAAAATTAATGAAAATTTAATTCAGAAGTATTTGATACTTTTAATAATTATCTTATACGTATCCACAAGTATCCAACAGTATTGGTATCCAATGTGGATACAATATGGATATATCTCCCTTTTTGAAGTATTTGTGCTTCATAGACTAGGGATGGAGGTCTAGATTGGTTCCCAATTGATGCTGCCAAGTCGGGATGGATGGAAAGGCCTTTTGATGAAACAAAAAATTTAGTAGTTGTCTTTGATTGAGAGGGACAAGTCTCCAGGTCCTCCTGGGTTTTCTGTTGTTGTATTTCGATTTGATAGGAATATTGTTAAGCATGATTTGTTGAAAGTTTTTACAAGTTTTGTGAGAATGGAATCGTGAATGCTTGTACCAATGCCTCTTGTATATGTCTGGTTCCAAAGAAGGAGAATTTCCATAAAGATTAGTGATTTTAGGCCAATTAGTTTAGTTACCTCTTTATATAATTTTTTTGGGAAAGTTTTAGTAAAAAAATTGAGGGCAGTTGTTGGGGAGACTATTTCTTTGTCTCAGGGTGCATTTGTTGATGGTCGATAGATTTTGGATGTTGCTTTGGTAGCAAATGAGTTAGTGGAGGATTGTAGAAATTTAGGTAAGGAGGGTGTATATTTAAAGTGGATTTTGAGAAAACTTATGATCATGTGGATTGGGTTTCTTGGAATAGTCATTCAAATGAAGGGTTTTAGAGCGAGATAAAAGAGATGGATACAGGGTTGTTTTTCTTCTTGTAGTATGTCAGTCATTCTTAATGGAAAGGTAGGTGATTGGTGAACTTTTCTCCCCGTTTCTCTTTACTTTGGTAATTGATGTCTTGGGAAGGATGGTTGATGGGGCTAAGGAGAGATAGGCTTAGTGGAAGGCTTCGTGATAGATGGGATAACAACAATTCTGTATTTCATTTACAGTTTGCAGATGATACCATTTTATTTTCCTATAGGAACCTAGGAAGGAATCTAAAGTGATTAATTTGCTTTTTGTGTTGAGAATCTTTGGATTAGATTCAAGGGTTAGGGTGCTTATGAATACAAGTAGCATAGTAGCCATTACTATACAACTAGATAGATTGCATAGGCTGGTGGTGATAGGTTGTTACATTAAGTGTTTGTCATTGAAGGATTTCAGTCTTTCTTTAGGGGGTAAACCTTGGGTCTTTATCTTTTTGGGCTCTAGTGATTGAGAAGATTGGTAAGCAAGGAAGCACGGGCGCGGGTACGAGTGCGGGTACGCCGATTCGGCAAAACTCACAAAAAACTATGATACGGGTACGGCTGCGGTACGTCGATATATATATATATATATATATTTTATATAATTATGGTTAAAGGATCCAACTTACAAATTAAAATTAAATATCAAAACTAAAAAGAGAATTACTCATTTTCCTTTAATTTAAAACCATTAAGCGTTAAAAATAATATTTGTAAAATCTCACTTTGACATGTTATGCACTGTGAATTTGCTATCATAATTTATTTTTAAAATCTTTCTTTTTGCTCATCAATTTGCTATTTTTATAGGGTGAGACCAAAGAAATAACAGGAGACCAAAGAAAGATTTAAAGTTAATTACCAACAATAAAGGAAAAGAAATTCTCAATTGAGCCATGTTGTCAATTGCAATTTGCATAATACATAAAATTACATCATTCTCAACCACTACTAATCAATTAATACCGTATCAATTTTTGATGTTTTGTGCATAAACTTTAATAGTTTGTTATGATTAAAGATTTTATAAAAAAATCCTAGGAGGATCTGAAGCAAAAGCAAAATGCATAGTCATACATAGAACTGCTCTTTATAGGCCTCGTTTATTTTTTGGTTCAAATTGCTTTTTAAAAACATCAAAATCATTTGCTGATATGCTTATACAATTCATACAAATAGACAGGATAGCAGAGAAACATCAAAATTGCTGATTTGCAAGGGCACCAAAAAAAAAAAAAAGAGGAGGAAAAGGCCCCGGCGTACCCATGTTGTACCCGAATGAACCAAACGTACCGGACCCCTTTTTGCCGTACTCAGTACGCGTACCCATGGCGTACCCACGCCGTATCCGAATGAACCAAACGTACCGGACCCCCTTTTGCCGTACCCGGTACGCGTACCCGCACTCGGTAAGTACCCGGTACTCGTACGACACTATTTTTGGAGTACTCGCGTTTCATAGTTGGTAAGCAATTGAAGGGGTGGAAGAAAACAATTTAACTCCCCCATTCAGGGTTTTCTGGTATGAGAGAAGGCACCTAGAGTGTATGTACTCATCTTACACTCTCACAAACACCTTTTCTATTGTAGTTCCAACCATTGGAGAGTGAGTATACCCTTCATTCCATCAACACAAGTTTTCCAAGAGCTTGCTCCAAGGGAGTCTCATAGTTCTTTTCTTTTGGAAGGTATAAATTTCTTCCTATAATTGTGATATCTATATTATAAACTATCACACACCACTATTGTCTTTATATAGAGAACTCTTGGGCTTGAAGGTGTTGGTTTATTTATTGAATTCCAAGTTCTAGATTTTTTTATCCAGGAAGTGTTTAGGATTGTGGTTATGGGAGAGCCTAAATCCATTTGTGCTTTATGTGGAAGAGGTTTGAGGGTGGATGCTAGTGAAAACCAAGTGTGGTTGTAAATATTTTGGGTGATCTTAGTGGAATCCCCTATGTGATTGATTAGTCGATTAACACTGGTAAGGGAGGCCGGGAGTGGATGTAGGAAAGTAGCTGAACCTGCGTAAAAATCTTCCTGTTCATCTCTATATATTTGTGCTTTTAATTTGCTATATCTATTCATATGCCATTGAGATGAATGTGATCCATGTATGAGCTTGTTATGAATGTTTATACATATTAAATACATAATTCACTAGATTTACTCTTTTATTAAAAGTGAGATTATGTGATTGAGTACAAATTTAGATGCAAAAATTAACTAGCCATAATTGAGCCTTAGAGAGTCAAGAGATTGAATTGAAGAATACACATATTAAGCATTAAACTGTGGTGGTTATAAACTCAAACTAAGATAACCAATTGTTGTACCCAACTAAAACCTTAAGTTGCATAAGGAAATTAAAATATCAAGGTTGACTAAGTATATGTTTAATTTGAAAGAGGCTCGATATAAGATAATTGAGGAGTTGAGGAAATAGGATTGAATTAATTCATTAAAATCTAGTTTGTCCTATTCATCCCCATTCTTTAGGACACTATCAGGTTGTATCTTAATACATAAGTGTTATATGATAATGTGATAGAAAACCAATATGTGAAGCAATGCCCATTTCATAAATGCAGGATGCTTTTGATTGAAAACTTAGTTAGGAACTAAGTATTGTATTATTTCATTGAACCAAAAAGGAATTACAAGAGTAAAATACGAACTAAGTATCGTATTATATGATAATGTTACAAGTCAACTATGCTAACCCTAATTGCTAACAATGACTAAACTACCCTTAAGAATAAAATACAATGACTAAACTACCTTTACGAATAAAATACACATATGCTTAACACCCCCCCCGCCCCCGCAAACTCAGGATGTGACAGCAGGAAGCATCGAGAGTTTGTCAAGCAAAAAACAAAAGTGCAAGATAGTATGAGACTTAGTGAAGAAATCAACGATCTGCATAGTACAGGAGACAAAGGGCAAAGACAACGTGCGAAGCTGTAAGTGATGGCGCACAAAGTGGCAGTCAATCTCAATATGTTTAATCCGCTCATGAAAAACAGAATTATGAGCAATCTGAATGACACTGGTGTGCGGGGACGAAATATCCAGTGCTTTCTGTACTCCTTGGACTCAAGCTTCTAGTGACGGCGTCTAACCTGACAAAACAGAAACGGTGAGCTGCCCGGCGGTGGTTAGCCGGATAGACCCTCCGACGATCA